TGAAGCAGCTACTGATTTATTGCATGGGCTAGTGCTGATTGTTGCTAGCCTTGTTTTGACCATCGAACAAAGCTGCTTACTGCTAATCCCCTTTAGGGAAGGTGATGTTTCAGCTGAAAATAAATGAGAGAAAGAAAGGGCAAACAATCCTATGCATGCTCTTAACAAGGAATAATATGAAATAAATTTGAAAACAATTTAATAATGACAATGGTGACAAGTAAGCGGAAGAGAAAAGACGTTCTCAGAATTATAGAGAGTTTGTAAAGAGTCTTGAGAAATAAAGTTTGGGAAAGCAAATGTCTGTGTATGTACTGATGTGTGAGTGTGTGCATAATATATGTAGGTATGAAGATATATATATATATATGTATCTGTGTGAGTTTATAGATATATATTTATTGATAGAAGTAACTCATTTAAGAAGTTTCCTTTTTTGTTGTCAACATAATTGAGTATTCCAACAATTATTTTATCTCACTTGGGCTGATCTCTCTGTATGGCATAAGTGCCTGAATGAGAAAAACTTTCTTCAGCATCGTTTTAGTAAGTGAATGCAGTGTGTGCGCTTGCAGTGAGTCCTCCTGTGTGCAGTCCTGTGTATACTTGCTATGAGTCATCTTGTGTGTACACCTGTGTGTACTTACTGTGAGTCCTCCATGAGTGGCTTTTGGGGAGTTTTTAGATAGGCCAGAGTTAGGCTCCAAACAAAAAACCAAAATTTACTATTTTTTTGTTGTGTTACCAAGAATCTTGTGGTGTGCTTACTATAATGTCCATATAGGGTTGAAACCGAGTTTGCTTTTATATATCTATTTTTAGACTTGATGAAATTGTAGTTTATAGAGAATTTGAAAATGTTTTTTTTTTAAATTTTTTATTTGTTTTTGTATATCTTCAAAGACCCAACAGATCAAAAGACTTGTAGGAAATTCAGTCATCCAGGTTTTTTATATTAAGTATCTGAATGTCCAAATTTCAAACAATAATAAAATAAAAATAAAGAAAACATGGGTATGTCTGTTAAATAAATCATTTACAAACATATGTGCATGAATTCAAAGGAGTCAAAAAGTATTAAAAAATAGTTTTTAGTTGAGTTAAAGTCTTTGGGTAGTTGGTACATAGAAAAATCTGTAGTTTAGAAAAGACTTTTAAATAGTTGGTCCACAGAGAAAAAACTCTGGTTGAGAAAAGACTTTTATCATTAGCATAGATTCACTTCACTGACTGTCCTTGCTGTTGTTGGAGATGGTTCACTTAAAGTTGCCAACATATGATTATCAGCAAAGATTCACTGACTGTCCTTTTTTGTGTTTTTGTAGCTGACTCATTTGAAGTCACTGACACATGTTTCTTTCAGCATGTGCTGTGGTGAAGGAAGACGCTTTCTAGATATATCTTCTCTTCAGCTTGGAGACAGTTACCTCTCTGCTCTTGAAAGTTGAAAGTAGGCTTGAGAAAAATAGGGTTTTAGTTTTCTCTGATTGGATAAATATTTTATATGGTGATGTTAATTTCTAACCAATAGTTACTTTGATTTAAATGGTGTGTGTTGTATTGTGAAATCTTTTTGGCATGTTTGTAATATTGTCTGTTACTGGATAGAAGTTTGGTTATGCTTTAATATGGTATGTATGTGGTTATTGGAAAGAAAATTTAAATTTCAATATTATTATTTTTTCATTAATTAAAAAAGGAATATGACTAGCCAATCAAGCTCATCCAGAAGATATAGAATTTAAAGTTCACACTAAAATTGTCTGTGAGCATATTCTCTTCAGATGAAACATATCTTATCTAATTCACTCCTATCCAACTTGGTTGTTTTCAGATAAGATAGCATAGGATACGTACTCATGTAATATACAAACAGATATTAACTATGCTTTATTTCTGTTCCTTTCCAAATTTCATAACCACATGCATAAAATAAGCAGATTGTTTAACTTCAGAAATCTGCTAGTAAACTTATAGTTAAATAATCTCTTTTTTAATATTGCAAATATTCAATTCACATATTTGTCAAGTTATTTGTTCTTCATAGCATTTTCATATAGGTGGTATTTCCTCCTGTTCATTGATTTGAGTTTACTTGTAAATCAGGTTGGAGTTCCGGGGGGGGGCAGTCCATGTAACTTCCTGAGAAAGTGGACGATACTCCAAATTTGGAAAGTTGATTAAGAAAGCAGAAATAGGGAACAAAGAACTCTTATTAGAATTAATGTGAAAATTTAAAGTATCAGCAAATCCCAAGAACCCTTCAGTCCCATGCCAGTTTTGGGCTGAAGTGCATATAAGCAGGTTGCTTTGGGAACTTGAGGACTTGAGCTGAGAAACCCTGTATCAAGTGCCTCTGGAATCCATATCAACTGCTACCAGATTTCCTGATTTTGAAGAAATTTGAACCAAAATTATTAGACGAGGCACAGCATCACTATAGAGATTGATGCAGTAAGGGTTAATTTTTGTTGTACCAAGACTACATAAACCAACTGAAAATTAACCCCATGAATCTTTCATTTTATTTTTTCATTGTGAAGATATTTCTTTTTTAATATCGTACCCGTCATGGCTTGAACCAGCACTGCGATTACTACGACATTCGATCTTCCACTGTTCTGAGATCAAGAACACAACATGGACAGAATTGATGTGAATCGAAGAAGCCAGTGACCAACAACCAGCTTGGTCCAGAATCAGCAATGACCAGAGCAGAGTTAAAAACATTGTACTAAAACCCTGAAGACCAGACTACTAAATGTGGTGTTATACTCTGTCCAGTTAGCTCTCATTCCAATTCATTTTGCATGCTGACCGGATGTGACTGCCATGAAGGCAGAAGACGAAATAACAAAAGTCTTCTCTGCACATTAGGCTCCATGCACAATGTCCAATCCACAAAATGAACTCTGGCAGTGGTTAATTGTGAACATTCCTGCCAGTAAAAGAGGCACCCCTTGGAATTACCAGACCTGCTTATATGCAGGCTCTGAGGACAACCAAACAATTGCAGCTGGCATGGCTGCTGGCCATCATGCAGGGCACTGCTACTGCTGGTACTGCCGCCATGATCTCATCACCATGACAACAAAGAGGTGGACTGGCAACCATGCAAAATACTATTACCGCCACAGTTGCCACCTCCACTGCCACCACTCAACATGACCACAGATTTCAACAACCATTACCACATACTGGCTTGACCTACAACCTCGGCTATGCAGTTGTCGACTCAACATCTTTACTTCTATTCCTCCCAGGTACTGGCCTCCATTAATACCGACACCTGCCATCACCTCGGTCTACCTCAACATACTTTGACTCGCTTACAAGGCATTCCCTTCATGGTTGACTCCAGCAACATCCGTTCCACAGAACAGCTCTACCTGGGCCATCATACACTTAATAACAATGGTTACACCACCAGGCATAGGCAGTGGCAGGAGGTGTTATATATAGAGAAACTATCTCTGACTTGCAGTCTTGTATTCGCTAAATATGTCCTCAATTGGGATGAATAGTAAATGAATCCAGCCTGCTTGAATTGGGAGTCCTAAACATGGCTTCTCCAAAAACACAGAAGAATCACCATATTATGTGTATATATACATATTTACACATGTCCCACAAATATAACATATATCTACACAACAAGCAGTGTGAAAGGAGAATGAAAAGATAGGGTCTTACATATAATATGGTGATTCTTCTGTGTTTCTGGAGAAGTCATGATTAGGATGTAGCAGTACTAACAGTCTAAGTCAAACCGTACATTTTTTACTTTACAAATGTGTAAGCAAACGAAAAGCAGACAAGAGAAACAACACAAAAAACTGTTTTTATAACAAACAGTATTTGATGGGGTTTCATAGTGTTCACCTGAAATGGGTTGAAAAGCTTTTTCTTAAAGTCTTACATTGTTGGTAGGCAAGAGAAATTAAAAGAGGAAGAATGAACTTGTGTCAAAGTATTTATAATAAACATAGTCATATGATCGGCTCTGGAAGGTATAGACAGATTTTGGCAGAATTGTGTTTTTGTTCAGGTCAGAAACTAGGTTGATATTATTCAGATGTAGTTGAGAACATGATTTAAATATTAACTGACCAATGAGAAGTGAGAAAAATATCAAGACTCTGTGATCCACTTTTTGCACAGATTTTGGGATTGAAAGAAAGTGGTAGCAGGATGCTATAAGAACTTCAGATTCAAGTGGGCCAGATTCATCCTAAATGAAAACATATTCCACAAACAGGAAAATGGTGAGTCTTGGGTTTTCCAAAATTGAGGACCGCAAGCCAGAGATATTCCCAAGAGAAATGGTGCCATGAGCTTATAAGCTCTAGCATGTGCTGGAGGAGGCAGATTTATACTCAGCTGGGACTGCTTGGTCCAGGCTAAAAAAAGCAACCACTTGGTTTGGCTCCTGTAAACCAACTAAAGTTGACTGTCACTTTTGTCACTGTATGGAGTGATGTCACTAAGCGACTGTCATATGACCCACTTGATTTATCTCGACTAAAGGGAGATAATCGCTTTTGCATCCTTACAGGGTAAACTGATTAATAATAATAATAATCAGTTTTACCTATTCATTATGGAAACCCCCAAATCCTTGTATCTTTACAAATATATATCACTCAACAAAAAGGTTAAAATTCCTGTTATGGACAATTCTTATTTTGCATGCTTAATCTATGGTCGTGTTTTTGCATGCAGAAAGAAAAATATTTCATATTAGTACTAATAGAAAAGATTCAGATGTACTGCAGATAATAATTACATTACAATTTTTATTTTTATTTTAATTCTGACATCACATCATTCATTTTTCATCACAAAATAAATTATTCTAATAACATGAAGAATTATGTTCGATTATTTTAGATTAAATATTTTCTTCATATATTTCTCGCATTATTCTCGATTATAAATCGTATTAGATTAAATTTAAAATTAAACAAATAAATAAATAACCTTTTTTTTTTTTTTATGAAATGCTGACTTTACATCGACGTTTGTAGGAAAGTACAATCGGACGCCATTTCAATGGTAGAAGCATGGACATACTTTAAATTTTATCATTATACCTGGGATTAGGACACATTTTTTGAACGAACTAATATGTAAGTTCATTGTAATTGACCATCACGCAAGGTTACCGTGTTTTTTACGAATTAAATATTCCTATGGTGTACTGTAGACCAACTCGTTTTTTGTAGTGTAAAAGGGTTTCTCTTTTCGTTTTTTTTTTTTTTAGTTGTAGGGCCTGAAAAGTATTTTTAATTTTTTTACTTCAATTATTCTGTTGTCAGTTTTTATTGAAATGGGTTTATTTTTAAAATTATTTTTAAATGTACTTGTTTCACGTCAAAGCAATCTCTAGGCTTGACATTTAAATGTATCATTTTATTTACATTGTTTTTCTTATGAGTCATTATTCTTATATTGAGTGCACAGAATTATTGATAAAGAAATGATTTCAATTTCATCAATTTTTAAAACTACTAAGTTAGTTGCAATTATTTATGTGCTGCAGTGCAGATACACTTGACATTTTTAAAGCGTATTTATTTTTGTTCATTTGCAAAACAAAAGAATTTTCTTACTATATCTTTCATTATCTCAATTTGTTAATAATGTTAATGCTCTCTAAAAAGCTGACAAATTATTTTAACGACAACGAAACGACGATCGTCTCTGAATTAATCTTCCTCATTTGACGAAAAAAAAGGGAATATTTGTTGACTAAAAATATGATCAGTTTATTAACGTATTCTGTATGATGGAAATCCTGTAATTTTTATTATTGTTATTATTCGGTAATAAATTTATTATTGTTTTGGTTTTCCGAGTGACCAAGTTGTCTTATTTGCTTTCGATAATTATTTTTTCGTTCACTAAAATGATGTTAAAAACTTTAAAGTTTAAGCTAAAAAGTAAAAAGCATCTAAGATTTCTTATTTTAAGAAAAAAAACGGTGTGATGGGGGGAGTCTTCCTGTATCCTTTCTTGATTTCTCATCCTTTTCTTTTCAATCATTATTGTTAAAAAAAAAAATTAAAAAAATTATAACTTTGTTTTTTTTTAATTTTTTGTTTGTGATTTAATTTATCTTTATATTTTTACTTATTTTCTTCAGCTGATTACGTTTTAGGGTGAAACGGTTTTGTTTGACAGATGATCGACACGACGAATGAATGTTGATATCAACAATCAATAGAGATTTCATTACATGAGGTGCTGAAAAGTTGTCTGCTTAACCAAGGGCTTCAAAAAGAAAATTTTGTTTTCGTCATTTGGTCAGATTTTTTTTTTTTTGGGTGGGGAATAAGTTCTGAGTCAGTAACTTTTCACTTTCAGTATTTCCTCGTACAAACAGAAAATGCCAACTGACTTTTTTTGTCTACTCTTACAGAAATTTCAATAAAAATTCTTAAACCTGTGTATTACCTAAGTTTTTTTTTTTTTTTTTTTTTTTTAATGAAAAAGAATGGAAGTTTAATTTTTTTTTTTTTTTTTTTTTGCATATGTGGTTAAAAAAGAAAAATCGGTTTCACCAAAGAAAAACAATACATAAGGTTTTTAAATTAAAAAATAAAATGCGTTTCATTTATAAAAATGAAAAATCTTTCTCTAGAAGCTTCTTTTATATTTTAATTTCAAGTTAATATTTCCAACAAAAGTGCAAAAAAACATTGCTGTATTTCAAACTGAAGCAAAATTGATTGGAATAAGTTTTTATTTTTTTAGTTAGTATCAGTTGTAAGTAAAAACGCTAAAATCGTCCAAATTATGTCACCACAATGGCAATTCTCTTCATAAAAACAATTTTCAAAAATAAAATGTACTTTTTTTTAACTTCTCTGAAACTTTATTTGAGGAAGATTACCTGATTTAAGCTTAATTAATTTGATTTGAAACAAATATTAATTACTTTTAGTTTAAAATATCACAGGGAAAGCAATATTTTTAACACGGAGGCGTGTATTTTTTATGAGGTGTTGACATTTCATTTATCGGTAGCTTAATGTTTGGTACTTTTAAGTAAAGGGCACATAACTGTAAAATTTATTTGAATACATGAACGCCTTTTTTTCTTTTATAATTTTTTTTTAACTGCCCATCTTAAAAATGTAGGAAAATATTTAGAGGTATCGCTACAAAATCGCTAAACTATGAGCACACACATGATGAAAAGGTGCCCCAAACATGAGCAAAACAAAATTTTATCATCAAAATCTTCGTTATTAGTAAGAAGAGGAAAGACCAAAGGATTTTTTAATTATTAAATTATATTTTTGATACTTTTTAACGTTCTTAGTTTTGGTTAAAAATCTTTTTTTTTTTTTTTTTTTGCATCAATGGTTGACCAAATATTAACATAGAAAATTTTAGTTTTTTGCGATGAAAAACATTCATTTGGAAATTCCTTCAAAAATTAAATAATTGTCAGATTTTAAAAATGAAACATTCGGGACTTAATCACAAATGAAAATGCAAAATTAATTTTTGTTTAATTATAGGCAGAACTCATTGGAGAATTTAAATTCTCAATTTGTTTGTTTTTTTTTTTTTTTAAACAGGACCCCCAGTTACTGAAAATCTGCTCTGAATCATAAAATAAAAAATGTAATAAACTAAAACATTATTTAATTAGAAAATCTTTTAATTACTTTTATGAATAAGATATATGGATACTATTGTCTTAAGAAAAATATTTTTTGGGATGAATAACGAATTTTACAAGAATTGTTTTCATTTTTTTAAAATTTTAATTGGAATAATTTATAAAGTTTTAAATTTCTGTATTAATTTTTATTTGTTAGGCGATATTATTATTATTAAGTAAAAACTATATTAATCTTCTTAAATGAAAAAGCTTACTACAATTCAGCGAACCGCCAATATTTTGTAAAGAATTTTGAATTTTTTTGTGTGTACAAATGTGCTGATTTTTGTAAATATGGACATCCATACCCGACATTATCAGAAAATAAGGACAATAACTAGTTCATCATTTTTTTTTTTTTTTTAGTGAATCTTTGGAGGTATCTTATATATATATTTATATATATGTATGAATAATTTTCGTATATTATTATATACATGAGACCTTCCTCAAGCCACATTATTTGTCAGAAACAAAAAATATTGATTTTTATTTTTTTTATCATTTTAGAAGTGGGTTCTTGTTTATAACATAAATTAAATTTAATACAATATCAAATTCGTTACTGACTTTTTTGTACATAGTTTTTATTTACAAATGCTATATTTTTTATTTTAACTATAGAACAAAATATCAGTCAATCAAAACTCAAAAGGTAAACAAAAATGTGACTGAAATACTTAGTTTTTAACTAACGCATTACATTTTAAAAACTGCTTTTTATTTTTTTTACTTTCATTTAAAAGTTTCACTTTTGAAAATAATATACAAAATTTATCACTGTCAAACTTTTTATTTTTTTTTATTTTTAAATCGAGTTTTTATGTTTGAATTTATTTAAACCATTGAAAAGAGCATCTTGTTATTTTACTTTCTTTGTAGCTAAGCCTCATTGAATAATATTAGAAAGCTTAGAAGCCCATAAGTGTATTTTACACTTACAATTTCTATCCTATTAAGCTACACATTCCATAATCTTTCACTTATTCATTTATTTTTTTTCATTTGCTTTATCAGGCATATTAGTTGGTCAAGATCTGAAGCATTCAACCTTTTTTTTAAAATTATAAATTAAACTTTTTTTTTGCATTGGTCCTTTTTATAAGGAGATGTAACCAACTGTGTAAATAACAGAGCAAAGATCTGTGTTAAAAATCTATATAGATTGCAAGTTTTTCAATGACCATAATTATTTTTATAAGTAAAAGACAAGATGGCAGAATCTGAAAACAATTGCAGTAATGAAAACTTGAGAATCCAAAATTTCAGGATTGTGGTTCCGGATCTGGACCAGAATGTTTTTAAAATGGTATATGTTGGGCTACAGCCTCTAGGAGTGACACTGAGACACACTGACATTTTAATTTCTTAAAATTTCATAAAAGTAAGTAAGTGAGCAGTAAAAGATTTAAAAACAAAAAAAAAAAATCAAAAATAATTTCATCCATTTGTGAATAAGTCCTGAAATTTCATTAAAATCCAACAATTATTTGATTTTTGCAAGAATTTCCAAAATAATGTGTTTTTAATGCAAAAAAGACACTAAAAGTTCCTATACTAATCTTTGGCCCACTCACTGACACAAGAAAAACATTTTTAACCAAAATTTTGAACATGCTAAAAAGGACTAAAAATTTTTAATAAAGTCATCAAAAAATACTTTCATCTTAATAACAACAAATATTTTGATGATAAAATTTTGTTTTTATCAAGTTTGGGGTCTTTTTTCATCATGCTATGCTCTTTTAAGAAAATTTTTGGAGGTACCTAAATTAAAGGCACATAACTATCTAACTTTCAATAGCTCATGTTCAAATGAAAAAATTACTATTCTTAAATTACAGTTTCAAAATGAAATTTTTCATGTTTTCAACTATACTCCTAGAGGCTGTAGTCCAACATATCATACCATTTTGGAATCAGGCCAATTCTGTGAGCAAATTAAAAACTTTCTGGGCTGGATCCGGATCTGCAATCTTGAAATTTTGGATTCCCAAGTTTTCATTACTGCATTGTTTTTTGTGATTTTTACATGATTTTTTGCAAGAAATTTTTTTGTATGATAACAATTTTCATAACTTAGAAATAAAATTGAAAATAATCAATATTAACTGTGAAATCCATGAAATAAAAATTATTTATGCAGAAAGTAAGGACCTATGCACATCAAATTGTCTTTAAATTAAGTGGCGGCAGAAGAATTATTGAACTTTTAAAAGGTAAACTTAAATATTAATGCAATACTTAAATGTAGCGATCAATTTTGAGTCCTTTTGTTGTTTATTGTTGCTTATCGCATCTACTCCTCCCTATCTATTGTAATGAAAGCCCAATCAAAATCCTTCTGCAGAAGCTAGCCTAAATGTCAGCCAATAGGGCGACTTTGAAACTAGTCATATTTATATTAGTTAAAAGCAAGATAACTTGGAGAATTTAAAGCATTTCAAACAAGAAACTTCATTTATCGAAAATCTGCTCTGAATTGTAAAATAAAAAAAGCAATAAATCTAAGACATTTAATTAGAAAAGCTTTTAATTAAATAAATAAATTATATTAAAAATAATGTATTTTTATAGCAAATAAATGGCAAATTCTGTCTGTCCATCCATGTGTCTGAAACTCCTCTAACTTGGGCCACACTTGCTCCATATCGACATGTTATACCTTTTTGTAATCAGGATGATCCCAGGATTAAATATCTGCCCATTATTTGGATTCTTGAACATCCAGAATTGGGATTTGTGTCTGGATAAGGAGGGAATAGTTAAAAATTCAAATTTTAAAATAACTGAAAAAAATTAGTGATTTTAAGTTTTTAATTTATATTGACTTTAAAGTAACAGAAAAACTTTGAATTTAAAAGTTTTTGTTTTAAATTCTGTTTAAAATATCTCCAAAGCATTGTGAACTGAGGAAATCGATTTTATTTCTTCAAAATGTCAAGGTATCAGAGTTAAGTGAGAGGTTTTGTGATGTGAGGTTTTAAAGTTCTGCAGAGTTTGTGATTTGAAGAACTCTACTCTATTGAAGTTCTACAGAGTTTGTAGAAATCAGTCTTTTGGCCAAAATTGGACTTATAGCCCGAATCAGAGTTAAAGTGAGGTTTTGAAGTTCCATGAAGTGAATTGAGGAATTCAAAGTTATTTCTTCAAAATTATCAATACTGTTTTTTAAGCTGGACTAGAGGTCCCTTTAGTTTTGGCCTGAAGGCCCATTAGCCATCCACAGTAGCTAGCTTAAAAGTTTGCACAGTGTGCTGCTTTTAAGCTAGTTATAAGATATATTAAAGGACACTATTGTCTTAAAAAAATTTTTAAGTTTTAAATCTTTTGAAATTCTGTATTATTTTCACCATTTTTAATTTAAAACTATATTTTCTAATCATAAATGGAAAAAAAATCATGAAAAACCAATATTTTAAAAAGAATTTTGAATTTTTTTTGTCTGTATAAACATGCCAATTTTTGTAAATACAGATGGTCATACACAACATTATCGGAAAATAAGAGCAATAACTATAGTAAATTTAAAGCCCAAATTTTTAAAGTTCATTAAAACTATGGAGAATATTTTCCTAAATTTTTAAAATTACTGAGTACTTAAAAATTATATATAGAAGGTGCTCATGTTCATATTCAATCATTTTATATGGATAAACAATATTAAATTTCAACATCAATCTGTCATCAAACTATCAACATGTGAACAGATTAAATAAACAGCTACCGACATGTTAAAAACAATGTATTTCTGTGATATTTTAAACTTAAATATTTCTTTCAAATCAGATCAATTATACTTTAAATTGGCTAATATTCCTCAAATAAAATTTCAGAAAAGTATATTTTATTTTTGAAAGAGTTTTTGATAAAGAGAATTGTATTGCAATAAATGTGGGCTAAAAAAATGGCACTAAAATCAAATTTTTTTGCTCCCAAAAACTCCTTCCAGGCAATTAGTTTTTGAAACACAGCAAAGTATTTTGCTTGTTGGAAATATTAAATTTAATCTATTAACTTGAAATTAAAACTAATAAAAGCTTCAAGAAATACTTTTCATTTTTAAAAATTCATTTTAAACCTTAGGCATTGTAAATCTGTGGAAGTACCTATTCTAATGGCCATTGAAATTATTTTTATTTCAGATCTTTCCAAATTTGTAATTCTTGGTTTTGCATGTCAGTAATCATTTTTTTAAATTTTATTTTATTTTTTATTTTTTTTTTTGGTGGGTGGGTGAGGTAACTGTTTCAAGTTTTCTTGTTTGACTCTTTTTATATTCAAATTTACTGGTATCATAGTTTGACCAGATTTTATATTTTTGTTCTGAAAAAGTGTAATGCTCTTGGGCATAAAATCATCTTCCCTCAACATATGGGTTAAATAGCAGGATAGACTGGGCTATCTAGCTTTGAATGGTACCTGGGTTTAGGAGGACTACTCAGAATTAAGATATTGAAGAAAAAGATGTGAAGAGATCACATACATCATGCCATTTTTAAAAAAAAAAAAAAAAAAAAGGGTTGAAGATGATTGATTTTTTTTTTCCCATCTCTCAAGAAAAAAAATACATGTAAAATAAGAAGATAAATTATACTAACGTTGGTTCAATAAGTTGAATGCACATGAGACATGATTAATCAATGAAAATCAAACAACACAGAAGTAAAAATACGAGAATATTTTTCTTTTTCTCCATATCTCATTCTCTGATAAAGCTTTAATAAAAGTGTAATATGCTAGATTGATAAACGTTTCTTATTTGTTCTTTATCTTGTTATTCTATAAATTTTAAATAGTTCATATGTTGACCAGGCTAATGAATTCCTTTGTATTTGAGCCATTTCATTAAAACTTTTATTTCAGATATTAAGCATACGAAAAAAATTTTCTTTTTAAATAGCTCTTCAGGCATATAGACTTCAGATTGAAATCACTAATTCTTTTCAATTTGATAGTATTGGGATTGAGATGATTTAATTACTTTGAATTAGAATTATATGGATTTTTTTTTCTAATCTTGGAACAAGTGTTTAAAGAAGTAATGCAAATTTTGAAATTTTACTCTTCAAGTATTGCTTTCAAATTTTGTTATGATTTAGAAACAATGTTTACTCCTGTTATTGCATTTTTTTTTTTCTAATACCTAATCAGCACTTGGAAGTGTAAGATATATGTATAACTAATCTTAAACATGCAGGGTGCTATTGATAAATTATTGTCTAAATTACGCAAAAATGAAAATAAGACTGATATCTCATTTTAACAGATATATTTACCAAAATTATGAAAATAACAAATATCTTGAAATACCAAAGAGTAAATTTATTTAATAAAATCACCATTGGCTTCAACCACAGTCTCCAGGTGACTTTGGAATCTCCTGCAACTCTTCTGAACAGTCTCCTTGTTTAAATTAGTGAATGCTGCCATAATCCTTGCCTTCAGTTCATCTTTGTTGTTACAAGGAGTTTTGTTGGTCTCTCACTCAACTGTGCCCCACTTATAATAATCAAGGGGGTTGCAGTCTGGGGAGTTAGGTGGCCAGATGTAAGGGTGATATGATTGCAGAAATTGTCTGACAGCCATGACTGGATTCTTCTGCTTGTGTGGCATGGTGCAGACTCCTGTTGTCAGACATAGGGTCTTCAAGCAGCCATCCTTTTGACCTAGGACAGCACTGCCTCCTCAAGTCATTTGATGTAGACTTCCATGTTGAGTCTGGGGCCCTGTGGGAAGATGAATGGAGGCATAATATTGCCATCATTAGTGATCACTCCAAATACGTTCATAATCATTATCACCCAACTCTTTCCAAATCCTCTGCACTGTCCTCAGATTGACATCCAAACACTCTGAAATGTTCATATTGGAGCTTCTGATGCAAAGGCAAAGCAGTACAGTATGTCATTCCCATTTTTCTGTCAGAGTGAATTGCATCATGGTGCTGTTTTTCTCACAGATGGTGCCCACTGACCCTACTATACTGTGCACTCCACAAAAACAAACAACACGAATGCGTGAAATTAAAAAATATAAAATGGCAATAATTTACCCATCACACCCTGTATATTTTTTTTTTTTTTTTTTATATATATATATAAAATATATATATATATATATATATATATATATATATATATATAATATTATATTTCAATGATCTTTTATCCTTATGCACAAATAACTCTTCACAAATGTGGTTTTTGTGTGTGGATAAATTGGCCAAAATTTACTTTGTGTTGTCTCAAGCTTTCCACACACATGAGTCATCATTGGAGGTGGGGGGACATCATTTGTGAAAGGATATTCGTACATTAAAAAAAATCCTTAGATATAATACGCACAAAATGTCTATTGCTTTTAGCAATACATATTTAAAAGAACAATTGCTACACAAATAAATTTGTGGACATTTTCATTAAACTATTTTTTTTTCTCTTTCTCCTGTAATTTCTATTTTCAGCTCTCAAAATGCCTCTTTGTCCTGGTTTATATTGTGGAAAGACAAATATAAATGGCAAACTTAGTGATTGTGGGGTGAGTTTCTTTGGATTGCTTGCTATTTCTCTCTCAATAGTTAGTTACTTTTTTTTTTAAATCTTGTATTGATTCACATCTTGTAATATGCTCCAAAATCCAAAACCTGTTTTTAAAACTGTTTGGCTGTGGTGGAAAAATATTTAAATTTTTAAAAAGTTATTTTAGAGTTGAACCTTTAAAAACTCAAATTTTTCTTTCTTCTGTCACATATTTCTACTTTATTCAATGAACATTGCACAGACAGGTCATAGGTTATAATGCAAAAAGATATACTCCCTTAGATTTTTTCAGAAGCAATTACAGAAGAGAAATCTGCAGTTTGGAAAAATTCATATCATAATATGATAAAAAAGACGACATTTATATATGAATTAGCACTTTGGTGTAGAATCTCTGTAGTATCTGTAGTTAAAATAAAAATGTTACTATCCACCAGTTCTGCCTAGGGTCAATGTTGTATAGGTGCATACTGAGAAGTGTTACACACTCACAAAAGGGTGATAAGTTCTTTCATACACACAACAATGTAAACAAAATGAATGTGCCATTTTGTTCCCTTACATTTTAGCATCTTTATGATTCCATCCTTTGAGAAGTTGGCATCTTTCTGAGTGATCAACAGGTCTAAGTGGTTTTTACATGTTTCCAGATAAAAGAAGTTCTTCCCTTTTAAGAAAATTTTATAGGGATTGAAATAAGTGGTAATCTGAAGATGCAAGGTCAGCTGAGTACGGTAACTGTAGTAGGACACCATACTCAAGCTGTACCAATTTCTGCTTTATCTGCAAAAAAAAGTTGATGTTTGGTGTTGTCTTGATGGAAACTGGCACCATTCCAATCAGTTAATTCTGTATACTTTTCGTTGATTGTTTTTTTATTTTTATTTTTTTAAAAAATTCAACATCTGTTTTTACAGAAGCTTACAATACATGTGCCCTTCTAATCCCACCAGTTATATGGCATCATCTTCAGATGCAGACCAGCTTTTGAAGTGGTTAACTGTGGCATATTTCATATTCCCCAGGCCCTTTTTCATTTCACATTGTTGTAAACAATCCATTTGTCATTACCTGTGATTGTTTTCAAAAATGGATCCTTTGGTAGCATTTGAGCAGAGAATCACAGATAGAAATGTGGTCCATTTTAATTTTTTGTTATTAAATCATGAGTTCCCCAAACATCATAGCGATTCACTTATCACTGTTTTCAAATGCCTTACAATGCTCATATGAGATATGTAGAGTATCTTTGCAATATTCGGTGTTGTGCGACCTGGATTATTTTTATTCAGCATTTTGATTTGGCTATCATCAATGACTCCAGGTCTTTTGGAACATTCTTAGTTTTCCAGATCAAAATTTTTACTTTTGAATCTAGTAAACCATTTATGAACAGTACTTTAAGCTATGGCACCATCTCAATAAATGGCACTGTCTTTTTTGCTATTTGTATAGTTCTTTTTTCTTTTTTTTTTTTTCCTTTCTAGAAATAAAAGAGCATCAAAATCAAATAAGAAAAATCCATTTCACTTTCCTCCATATTTTTGCATTTAACTTAAAACATTTAAAATTCACAATCTACAGATGAATTGTATAAAAAGATGCACTGAAATGTTACCTTTCATTTTGTATATATATATATATATATATATATATATATATATATATATATATACACGTTATAAATTTCAGCCACATATCAAACAAAATCATGTATTCAAATGCCAGCTATTGAAAAATGCTACAAACTTTTGTAGATTTGGTCTTTGAAATATTTTTTGGTACAATGAAATAAAAACAAATTTTATTAACTATTGATAACTGGCAAACTATGGGATGTGGATGCCTAAAATAAAAAGGCAATGAAGATGATAAAAAAGACAAAACAATACAAATATGAATGATAGTTAAGAGAAAATATAACCATGAGGGTGTATTTATTTCTTTGAGCTTTTATTGTATATATTTTAATTTTCTTTGTCTTTCAGGCTTGCCCTCGAGGCTTCCAACCAAACGATCACTCCATTTGTGAAATGTGCGATGAAGTGCCTCCTTTCTACGATTGCTTATACTTAGGTTTCATGGCTCTCTTACCATTGCTACTACACTGGTTCTTTGTAGAATATAAAAACAGACGATCAAAGTAAGTCTTTGCACAAGTCTAAAGCATTTTAACACTCTTTACTCACTTCCTTTCAAGCATTTTACACCCTTTACTCACTTCCTTTGCACATTCATCTCTGCTATTATGTGTATAACAAATTAATTGCAATGAAATTATGTGACTCTGTAAAACACATTTATGTTTACATCCCCAACATTTTAACTTGATTCACAAGAAAACAATATAAAAATGTTTCTCAAGAAAATTGCTCTCTCTATGATATTTCTTCATTAAGCTACATTCAAATTCCCTTAAAGTAAAATATTAAATTTACAGTATTATTTCATGATTTGATATTAATTGAATATTTAACATGAGCTATCCTTTGACTAAAGCTAATTATTTGTTTGGATTTTATGCTAATATATTTACCCCTAGATTTTTTTCTATTCTCACAATTAGTATTTTTTATATATAATTTTCTGTAAGGCACAGAATGTGTCTATCACATTTTAGCAGAAATGAGTGTATAGATATTTATAAAACCTTATTTTTATGGAAATTGAAGGGACAGGTATAGCATAGAACCTAGCCTAGATTCTCAAGATAACTATTTCACTTTTCCTGATTTCCTTATAATAGTTCATACTATAACTTTAACTTATTAAATAATATATTTTTTCTCTGCAATTCTTAAGCAACTGGGTCATTTGTGTGGTGGGGCTATTTTATGTATAGAATAATTTGGACTTTTTGTTAAAATGTTTTTTTTTTTTCAGAATCAAATCTTTTATTTTCTTTTCTTGTCCAGCCATCAAAGCCGTTATAATCCGGACACTACCAGGTAACTTTGCTAGTTAATATATATGCAAATATATTTGTCATTATTATACATGTATATATTATTATATTTATATATTGAAAAAATATGCAAATATCTCAAATTAGCATTCACTTGTTGGATTTGGTTATATGTAACTAGATTGTAGTGTCCAAACATGGTATATATAAGAATTATTTTAGTATTTCAAAAACAAAGAACTATTGATATATTTATTCTGAATATTAATTTATACCAAATAACAACTTCAGTTTATTTGTGCCTTTTATTAGATTAGGTTCACTTGCTACCAAATATCTCCAGATAACATTGAGTAACCTTACTCTTTTATATCAAAGAAGTAGGTTGAATGGAAGTGTTTATAAAACTTCATTTTTTATATATAGGAAAAAGGAATTGTCAAATTATGTGGCTTCTGTTGTCTTGTGTATTACTCTTATTTATTAGTTGACATTACAGTTTACACCTATAGAGAAAGTTCATGATCTCTGTAATGTTACCAAAGTAGAACAAATACTATGTAAAAATGTTACTAAATTGAGGTCAGCAATCTTTCCTATAATCTTTTTCCATCATTTTTTTTCCAGATTTTCTAAATCTTTAATCCTGTTACACATATCAGCATTTGTTGAGTGTGTGCTTGCAGGAGTGTTGACTTTATTGATGTTTGACCCCCGAGGCAAGTTGACTATCCGCTCCTGCCCTGTAAAGCGTCTATCTGATTGGTATACCCTCTGGTACAATCCTTCAACCAATTATGTTGATACTGTTCACTGTACACAAGAAATTGTCTACCCATTGTAAGTATACTAATTGTACTCAACAGTATTATCTTTATGACTGGTATATTTTTTCCATACCCTATGAAATATATAATTTCTCTCACAAGATATCAATAAGTATCTGGCCCATAGATTTGTAAGGACAATTAAATATGCATCTATTTAAAGTGTCTCTTTCAATTCAGAGAATATACAATTAAAACTTTATATAGTAAACTTTTTTTAACCTTCATGCATAAAATGGGTCTCTTGGAACTCACTCTTGTGTCCGTTGCATTAGACATCTTCTTCTATGTATTGTGTTCCTTCAGGAAGTTAGCAACTATGGTTCTCCACAATTTCCTCTCCTTAGTAGCTCTTGATAAATTTTGTCTTTTTATTAACTCTCCTAAACCCTGTTCTGCCATCCATTTACTCAAGTTCACTAGGTAGGTAATGTGTGTTTTTCTCTGTCCCTTTGCCTTCAATCTATTCTGTGAGTATCAAATTTTCTAAGTTCTCTTTCCTCATTATGTGCCTTTGAAATTTCAACTGTTTCTTTCCGAAGACATAATTGATTGTAATTCCAGATATTCCTCTCACAAGATGTTTCTTTAAATTTTTAAGTTACAGCCTTGTTGCCCAAGAAAATAAATTATGCCAATAAAAAAACAAAAACAAGAGGATCATCACTTCATAAATTTCTGATATTTTCATGATTCACACTAAAGACACCAAGCAGGTACAGTAACACCCTAGACTCCCTAAGAAAGGCTCTTAGTTCCATCAAAACTATTGAGTTCCAGTCTACATTTTGCTTTCTACAATTGTCAGCTTTTGTACTTTACATTCAATTCTTATTCCACATTTTCTTTTGAAAATATCAGTTGCTCTAGCTCAAGATATAGATGAAGTTGTGGACCCATCATCTTCCAGGTTTACCAAGGTGGATAGTTGCCTCAGCTACTCAATAAAATGAGCATGACTGAGAGAACATCAGACAGGCTGCAGATGCTGACGAGTCGAGTGATCATATTTTGTGTGTGGAGTTTCACAATAGTTTCATTGATTGTGATTGAAAAGACAGGGTACAACTGGTACTCTAAACAGCCATACATTTTTTTTCTTTTACTACATGCTGTTTTGATCTCCCAATAGGCATAATATCAGAAGAAAAATTTGATGTGAAACTCTTCCCTGAGTTTGATGGCTTGGTGTCCGGACCATCTATGGTTGAATGGGTCAAAAAGGTAGAACTTGTGTGCAGTCTAAAGTGTCCTGAACATATAATCCCCTTTGTTGGGTGGAGTGGAAAGAGTGGATATTAACTGAATAAAATCTGCATTGTATACAGTTTTTGCAATGGATAGGTTTGTGGTGTATGAGCAATTCACTGAGCAACAGCTTCATCACTGGGAATTGGTTGACGTATACTTGCAGTATTATTTGACAGAATGAGTAACCACAAACTGGCATGTGTGTTTGTAAGGGGATTACCAGAGCAGATAAAGCGGCTTCTTTGTGCTTTTACCCGTATATATGCAATAGTGATTGACCAGCTTTTGGCTTGAGTGCAGACAATTATGAAAGACAAGGTGATGGGGGATCATCTAGCAGCAGCTTGAACAATGCAGGATGAGTCGAAAAAGCTTCCTACTGGATGTCCATGCAGTACCACAACATCATATCATTGAAAAGGACTGTATAGGATCACATGTTGAAAGGCAGAAACCTGAAATATGCTGCTACAGGTGCAATGAGATAGGCCATATCTCCCAAAATTGTCCAGGCAACAACCCAGGGGAAGAGACTTCAGCACCAATCTGCTCCCCAAATCCCCATCTGAATGAGTGGCTACCTGTGATTATTGTATGCATCAGTAGGATCAAGAGTGCAGCCTTGGTGGAGACTGGTTGCTCACGGTACTTGTTAGCAGAACGATTTGTCACTCCTGGAAGAGGAGATGCTTACTATTGGCAATGAGACCCTTAGGTGCTGTGGGGAGGGATTTGTTCAACTAGGTGCGAGTGATGTGCACCCTATCGATGTTGAAGCTACTTGGGTATGGCCTGTTACTTGACATCAAAACTCAACTTAGCCGACCTTTGTGTACAGCCATCACCATCAACAAGCCTGACTTTCATGCAGAATATGACCTGAACAGGAAGATTCAATTGGTCTGGTGACCAAACACCACCTATGCTGAAAAACCCAGATACCAAAGTATCCCGTACCGAAGCAGCTCAGGGAGGAGTACACTCATGAACTGCAAACCTGGATAGATAACAGTTGGCTACTTCTATACTCTAAAGAGCTCTGACTCCTGCCAGGGGCCTAATACCACTAATGGCTGTACTGCAAGAAATAGAAGGTACGCCCTGTTATGGATTATCAGGAACTTAATCAATATGTTGACACATACACAGTTAATGCAGATGTTTGTACACAGAAATTGAGGGAGGGGCAGACATCGCTATTCTGGATCTGTGCCAGGTCTGTTTACAAATTCATGTGGACAAATCTTTGGGACCCTTTCAAAAAGTAGAAATCAAAGGGCAAAGGTATTGCCTTACCCAATTGGGCTCAATGTGACACTGCTGATCATGTGGTCAATCATCGACAAAACCATCCAAAGGGCCACATCCTCATACATCGACGACATATTCATAAATGAGAGTGTATGCCCTTTGGCTTTCATAAGAGCACACCTGAAATGATTCAAACCGAGTAGAAAGAATCTGGAGCAGCTAAAGTAGGGCACCCATGTGCTGGATCTGCATGTCTGGGAGGAGCACTGTGTTTCTGATATTCTGTCTGGAAAAACAAGAGTGTGCACAAAGGCCTCGTCAGAAATGTTAATAAAACTTTAACTTGGCACACTCTATATACAAATATCAGACCTACATAAAGGGTGTCAATGTTGCACCATCAGTTGAACATATAGATCCTGGAATCTGCAGAGTAGGAGATGCAGTCTGGATTAAGGCTCCACATGGTCAATGCATAAAGCAATTTAAAGAGAGTGACGGGGGATTTATAACCCACAATCAGTCCTTAACAATGGAATACCATGCCACATCAAAGTCATTGTCTTCATCACTGATCTATTTCCTCAGAAGATGACAGTAGTGATATGTCATCTGAGAGGGATTCTGCTACTTTTTAGATGATTCACCTGCAGAACCAGAAGAAATGGTTGGAAGATGGTGATGATGATGCCAAGAATAAGAGAGAACCTGTAGACACAAACTAAGAAATTAATGAACTTCATCCAACTTTATGAAGAAGCACATGTTGAAGGAGACCACCATCTCTCTGCTACTTATAGGATCATGAGGTCAGAGAGGAGTGTAGAAGGGAAAACAGCTTACCTCCTGGAACAAAACGTGCATGTATGTGTCTCACATGCAGAATACATAGAAGAAAATATGGCTGATTCCAAAAGCTGCCATTTAAGAACAGAGATTTTGTGAGATGAATTTGTGGTTTATGCAAATTTACGAGCCTCAACCACTCAATAAAATGAACGTGAGTAAGAGAACATTAGACAGGCTACAGACACCAATAAGTCAAGTGGTTGTTTTGTGTGTGTAGTTTTGCAGTAGTCTCATCAATTGTAATCAAAAAGACGGGTTACAGCTGGTATTCCAGCTGTACTATTTTTTCTTTTTTACTACAAATTTCAAGAATAGAAATCTAAGCAACAATATTTTTTGCTGTAAATATAATTACATTTCCTGGTATATTCCATGAATATATAATTAGAAACATAACTGAAGAAAAATAATAGATTTTTATGACTTTAAATAATAGAAACAAAGCTAGAAATGATCTTTCTTTCTTTCCTGGAGTTTAATTTGCCTTGAAATAAGTTTTATGAAAACTCTGATCACTTCATTGCATGTACAGTAAAGTAAGTAAATACAATAAAGTAAGCCTTAATAAAATATAAGTATTATTGATTTGACATCTCACATCTGTACTGATTTTTGTTTAATAGATAAAACAAAACAGTTAATCCAATATTAACATAAATATTTACAGGTATGGATGATTGTAAAAATCTTTTTTTCTTTCTTGTTTTTCCTCTGAGTTAATTTTTTTTTCATCAAAGCAATAAATATTAAACTTGGGATTTATCAAAGAATGACCCATCTAGACTATTTTTATTGGTAGAATATTAATGTAATTGTTTTAGTTTTCTTGATTTATATTTGTACAGGTACACAATGGTGATCATTTACTATGCATTTGCTCTCGTATTGATGGTCCTTATCAGGCCACTGCTGTCCTATAAATGTGTGTCTCGAAAGGGAACAACTTCCATCTATGCTGCATTATATTTCTTTCCAATGTTGATATGCCTTCAAGCTGTCTTTGGTGGATTGTTATGTAAGTAGCATTTTTGATATCTGAAATGAATAACAATTCTTAGACTTTACCATTCCTTTATGGTAAAGTCTCAATTATTCTAATTCAGATATTTTAAGTAGTTGTACGTTTTATATTGTACAAGTTCATATTGAATGGTTACTACAGATTTCACAAAGACTAGAATTTACTCTTTGCTTTAAATACAAATATTGCAATACTGTTACATTTACTGAGATGTGAGCTTTCTGACTTAAAATTTGAAGCCTTAAGTCTGAATTGGGGACATTATTACCTAATACATAACATGCTGCATATAATTACTATATCATCTTTTGAAGATCTTTTTCTCTTCATAAATCATGTTTATATACAGATATTGGGTTAGGTGGGGTTTAAATTTGTGAATAAGATATCTTTCATTTCTGCAACTCTTGTAAAATCTGAAATTCAAGGAAATAGTTCTTTGTATATTTCCTGGTGATGGTTTTTATTATGATAATTGTTTAAACATTGTACTTGTAACTTTAAAATATATATATATCACTGCATTCTCCAAATTTCAGTTGGTTTAAATTGATTGTCTTTTCTCTTAATATATTCTGCTTCAATAAAACTGAATATTACTGTATGTCAACATTAATCTATTTAAGAATTGAGTGACTTTTTTTTTTCTTAACAGATTATGCCTATCCTTATATATTGATAGTTTTGTCTCTTGCAACACATGCTACACATTTGGCTTATTGTCGAAACCAGGTAGGACAACAACTAATTTCAGGTCTTTCTTTTTGGGAATTACATTTTTTTTTTTTTTTTTTTTATTATATCTATATTTTGAAGAACCTTTTGTGCTTCAATACCAGTTTCTTGGCATTTAATTTTTTTTTTTTAATTTTAAATCCTTTCTATAAGTTTTCAGCATTCTGTTTTGAGACTATAAAATACTTTAATACTTTTCTTATAACTATATTATGGAAAATATTTTTTATATATAAATTTTGGCAACATTAAGGGATTTTTTCCAAACCACCAAGAAAAAACAAATTTAAGCACTCTTGAAGATTTAAACATTCTTGTTTCTGTTCTATAAATTTGTCATATTGACTACAGTTGAGATCAGTCATGAATTCTTTCAATGACTGTATATTATATACTTCGCCAAGACTATACAATTTTTAATTCAGAGTTGTTCTTCTAGACTAGTTGCCTATCATGGTTAGAGAGTCCAGTCTCTCCTGATATTAGCATATAACAGGGTAAAGAGATGGATTTATACCTTTCCCAAGGGTATAAACTTAACCAAAACTCCACTCACTTATTTCTTGTTCTGAGACCCTAACCATTCCACTACCTGCACAGGTTTATAATAAATCTTAAAACAAACAGCAAAGATTTGTTTAGTTGAACATGTTTGTGTTACAGTTTCTGTCTATCACAAAGCAAAATGCAATATGTCAACCTCCTGTTAGTTTGCCAGGGAATTTCATCAATTCCAAATTAAATGTCTGATAAAAGAATTTGATGTTTGGTACTGTATGACTTGTTATTGAAATAAGTGGGCTTTGAAAGTACATCCATGTAATTATTGTGTGCCAATATAAGTAAACTTTTTAAGTAAAACTCTCAAAAACTAGATGAACAATTACCTCAGCATAAAGTTGCTGATAGCAAACAGAAATGATGCTGCTACTACTTGCATTTCTATAAACATTCAGCACAAATGACAAAAGATTTACAAAACAGTGACAAAAAAATCCTAACCAATAACTGAAAATTTATAACAAAGCAATGAGGACCAATCTGGTACTTTTGATGTAAATAGTGCTGCTGTATGTGACTTATTTTCATTTATCTTTGTGTAAATCAATATTCTTCAATTGAAAAACCACAAATTATTAGCTTTTCTTAATGTTTAATGACACACCCTTTTAGCCCACACCATGCTTTTTGACATTTTTTTTTTCTTTTCTTTTCAGACAATAAGAGGATTATTCCAGGAGAATTTTACAAAAATAAAAAATCTAGTCATTATTGTTGGCCATTGGCTTTTGCATGCATATGGAATCATTGCAATCACTCAACTCACCAAACCAGAATTCCATGCATCTCTTTTGGTTTTAACAGTTTTTCCAACTATATTCTACATTGTCACTTGTAAATTTTCTGATCCATATCTCATTGATCGTGCGTTCACCAGTTGAAAATATTCAACCTCCTAATGGCTTGCCTTTTATTGTTAGTGTATTCATCTTGGATATAAAATAACTTATTGTAAACTAATTTCCTTATATTTTTCATGCTTTTTTTTTTTTTTTTTGTAATTTTCTAAACATCAAGGCTACACAGCAATTTCCAGTGTGTGTGTGCGCGCGCATATCAAAATATAAGGGCATGACATCAAACAAAATCCCTGAATTGCATTAGCTTATGCCACACATAAAAATTGTCAGATTTTCTTGACTCCTATTATTCACTTAACTGTCTTTCTAAACTTATTAGCAAGTATAGGGTATAAGGGGTTCAAAAGAGCATGCCGGTTGTAACAGAGGGAAGAATAATTTGCCCATTTAAAAAAAAAAAAAAAAAAAAAACAACTCTAGAATAGCCCTTGTTACCTGCAAAATGCTGGGGAAATTTCTTGACTCTTACATAACAGGCATTTTTGGAAGGGATCAACAAAGGCAAGAGAGGTTGTAGTATTTTCAACTACATAAGAAATAAATATATTCTTCAGTAAAACTGAACTCTTCCACAAGGAATAAGTTGATAGAGCATTAGTAATGTTCATTCATTCCTTTCATAATACAATCAAACCAAGGTGATACCTATAATATAGGTATCAGCTTGAATCAAACCTATTCAGGTTTAGTAAAAAAAAAAAAAAAAAAATTCAAGGATTTTAATGCAAAGAGAGCTCTGCTAAATATGATTAACTATACATGTATATACACAAGTAATAAAACCAAGTTTTGTTATATTTTGAATTTCATGTCATCATAAACTTTGTCTAACAATATCCTATTTGTACAGATTTTTTTTTCTTGTTTTAAGATCTAATCAATAGGAACTTAAATTTTCAGCCCTCCCCAACTTGTTTCATACTCAGATTTAAAAAAAAAAATTGTAGTTTTGTTTTCTACAAATACTTGAATAAAAACTTATCAAGCTTCACTGTTTATCTGAGATAACTTTTGAGTACAAAGCTGTTTCCCTGCAACCCCCAAAATTGTGAAGAGTGCTGCTTTATTATTCAGGACTTGATGCTGAAGTCATTTTTATTACAATTTTGCCTACGCTGTTCCCCCCCTTTAAGTGTGGATTCAAAGGTGCATTGTGATTTGACCAATATTCCATAAGCTTAGGTTCAGTTCCTAACCCAAGACACTCAGATGATTTTTCTAGATTTTTGATTTTTCAGTCCCAAGATTTCCATTATGAAATTAAGGGTCACTGACTTTGGTGACTAATTATGTCCTTGCATTTTCTCCATCTTGTTTAAAAAAAAAAAAAATAAAAAACCTGAAAATATTTAATAGTTACATCCATTAATTGCTTGTATTATTAGTATCACCCACCTGATTTGGCTACTTAGGTAGATCTTAAATTCTCAAAAACTTACCTAATCAGTATAAACACAAACATGATCTGATAACACATCAGATCTCTTCCCTGATTCCTCACCAAGTAAAGTTTCATTACCTTGCAGCATTTGGTAACAATAACTTGCTATTAAGATTTCACAGCTTAAAATCTAAATTTCTTCATACTCAAGTGTCCTTTTCTGGATAGGACTGATAATCAATGAAATTAACCTAGGAGACCTGCTATTTGAGTGTTGATATGGTGCATTATTATCTGCTCTTAGTTAATACAACCAGAGTCTGTTGTTTTATATTATCAGTGAAAACTTCCTAATTGACCAAGAAACCACTCTCCACCATGGCCTGTCCATGAATACCAGCAATCAGCAGACAACTTTCAGTTTTTAATATTCTTTGTTGATAGACAAAGAAGAATAGAAGAAAGTGTCCAGTTTTCATGCTTGCTGAAATTCTTGAAAGCAATATTTGTAGCAGCCTCCTCAAACTCTGACTGATGATCATATTACAATCAGACTTGCTGACTGGCATAGATATGTAACAGTTTCATGATCATCTAAAAAGATCATCTGCAAGGAAAGGAAGCAACAGTTTATTGCTCTGATACTTTATCAGAAACAGTTCAATGTCTTTCAAAACAAATCTCATTTCACTGGAAATAAAATGTCATTCGCATTTGATAGCACTGCAGAGGACTTGGTGGGGGCATTGTTTTCATAAATTTGATTATATCTGACGAAATGTCTAGTTTCTACTTGTACATTTTCTAACCATCTACAGCAGAAACAGTTTTTAGTTTAAACTTTTAGTATAAAACCAAATAAGTTTTTCATTTTTTTTTTTTTACCATTACAACAAAAAGCTAGAAGTCTGCAAACTTCAAAAATAACATTATTTTCTCAGAGATGCATTTTCTATCCTGTCATCTTTCCTGTATATTTTCTGACTCAAATTTGGTTTCCAAACTTGTTACTTTTAATAATTTAGACAAATGTAGTTTACAGATACACAATGGCATAAAGTATCCATTTTTTTTCCAGCATGAATTCAGCCACCACTGAATAAAGATCAAAATTTGAAACTGACATGTGAATAACATTTTCTATTAAAATATTTCTATTACTGTAAAATAGATTATTTTCCTTTCAACTACAAATTCAAGTGAATTAATTTCTTAATGGCAAGGTTTATTGGTCACTGATGCCTTTTATCTTGACTTTTCCTTTCTTTGTTGATCGAGGGTAACAGCTAGAAGACATGCCTCCATAAATACAAGGTCATGAACTCTAACCAAGAAAATAAGCCAGTTTGCAATAACCAAAATATTGCAGAAAAAATGAATTGAGAAAATTCCATGACTTTTCAAGGAACTTTTTGGCTATTGCCATATTTCCAGAACCTGTATGAACCCTCTGATGAGTAAAATAGAACAGCTTGAAATATTTAGTGTACTCTTTTTGGTAAAATTAAAATGTTTGCTAACCTTTTGACAGCTGAGATCAAATTGAGACAGCACTAGTAAAAACTTAAATATATACAATGGGAGATAAATGATAACTGCAATGATAAAAATATTAACTGCAAAAAAAAAAAAAAAAAAAAAAAAAAAAAAAAAGATATTGTTATCAGACTATGAAGATTCAGTTGTATAAGACATGGTATCAAGGACCTCTCTCCAATCACTTGGTATCTGGCAGCTATTTAGACGTTTTTTCCTCAGTGTGTTACTTCCATGATGAATCAGGCATTGAAATCTAGCACATAAGTGGAGATATATAATTTTTTAACTTTATTTTTAGCTTCCTCTTTAAACCATCTTTAGCCAGTTTTTCAAATCATGGTATGGCATAAGTTTTAAAAAGGTGAAATACAAATGACAGACAAAAACTTAACTTGATGAATTTATTGTTATTAGTTCAGACGATTGAAAAGGCGACTTATTTGAAAACTTTGCCTTGGTTGAATTTTCTGCCATCAAAGTCTCCCTCCATAGCAAAATATTCTTTTACCATTGTCCTGGTCTTTTCCTCATCAGGGTCCAGCTTGGTCCACTCATATACTTCATAATCAACCTGCCAGTCAGGGCACAACTTTATAGGGAGAAAAAAAAAAAAAAAAAAAAAAAATCAGAAATTATCTTTATCATAATAAAAACTTAGGTATTTTAAGTTTCTAAGTAATTTATCAAATATGATGCTCATTCATTATTAAAAAAAAAAAATTATTAGATTGAATTTCAAAACAGCTGAAGACACTAAGCAGAGTTCCATGCAACTTCTGCCACACTACTTGATTGCTCTCTTGAATCAGTTTAATTTTTTCCATTGTTTCAATTAAGAGTTGTTTTGTTGGAGCCAGGTTTCCTATTCCTTATTTTTAGATTTAGTTTTTTTGGGAAAGGAAATTAAAAAAATCAAATGCTTACTTCAAAGGCTAATTCCTGGCTTGGCCATACCCAGATGCCAGATATAGAGTTTGAATTATTTTCACCAAAAATCAGAACACACGCAAAAGCATTTTTCTTCATTTTCTCTAAACGCTGGAACATTCCTAAAAAAAAAAAAAAAAAAAAAATTGGAAATAAAAAGTACTTTATGAAATCTTTAATTAAAAGCAAAAAATTTTTTAGAAGTCAATTTGAAAGTTAAACTGCAGTAAGAGTGAATTTAAGAATGAAAGACCCAAACTATTTTGTACATTTAAAATGTGTGAATGACGGTCAAAAATGAAACTTAAATGTTGAGACTAAGAATTTAGAAAAAGCTCAGATAATGTGATTATCAATTATTCAAGATTATTAAGTTCTCAATGCAATCCTTACCTCCTACCAAGTTGCAGGTCATGAAAACTTGAGTCAACTCATTATTATACTTGTAGTCTCCACGCCAAATAGAATAATTTTCTTTTTCAAAGTGTTCCCAAAAGTATGGCATGGCTACAGTGACAGTATCATTATTAGAGTAAGTTCTCTTAAATTCATCCATGTTAAAATTTCTGAAAGGAAAAGGAGATAATTAGAGTGTACTCATAAAAATTTAAGTAAATAAAAGCTTTTGGAAAAATTTCCAAAATACTGTGATTCCTTCATTAGATATTAGCAATTTCAGGCCATACAAATTTCCACCACCATCATTAAAAATATCGAAGTATGCAATATAAATGAATGTATCAAATAATTGTCATTGAACAAGTAGAAAAATAGAATGCCAATGCATAAATGAAAAATTTAAAATCAAATGCTAAGAGTGGGGATAAAGCATAGCTATTATTGCATAAGTTTTAGCTTTTACAAAGTGAAAAAAACATTAGTATCTTGAACATTTCATTAACAATTTCTTTTAGTTTTAATGTTTTTTTTCTTTTTAACAATATACAGATGGGTAAATTTTCACCATTTTATACTTTTATTTCACATATGCATTGTTTTTTTGGTTTTTTCAACTACAGCATAGTAGGGTCAGTTGGTCAGTCTGACAAAGAGCAAGACAATTCACTGCCAGAAATTTGGAAACCGCATGCTTTACTAGTTGGAAGCTCCAATACAAACACTTCAGAGTATTTGGGTGTCAATCTGAGGATTTGGAAAGAGTTGGATGAGTCTAACGGTGATTACAAAAGGTACAGCAGCTTAGAAAACTCACTGATAAGAAAAGTGCATCAGACTCAACATGGAGGCTTACATCAAGTGACTTGAGGAGGTAGTGCTGCCCTGGATCAAGAGGGTGGATGCTGGAAGACCCTATGTCTGGCAACAGGACTCTGCACCATGCCACACAAACAGGAGAATCCAGTCATGGCTGTCAGACAAACTACATCACCCCACTTGATTATTATGTGGTTAGTAGATTTTCCTTGGTGGATGGAGCCTTATCACTCCCACCACACAAAATGTTCAACTGACTTTAGATGTGGACTGTTGATCAAGTCATGGATTTTTATATGCCTTTTCTGAAGAAAAGCTTTATTCTTGCTCTATAAGATGCATTATTCTGAAAAATGGTTTCATCAAAAGATTTCTATAAATGGAATGAGAAAATTATTCAAGATTTTAGTGATCACATGTGCATTGGTTGCCACCAATCTTCATATCATGAAAACCTTAGAAAATTTACTTGTTTTCTTCATTTTAATGACACCAAACAAGAGTTCCAGCATCACTTTGGCCAATTCAGATTCTCAATTCAATATAGGGTATCACTCATCAAATCACCCACATGCCATGATTGTTTCTCTTTAGCACATTTTAACCTCATTTTCTTCTGTGTGCTAGTGCTGATTTTCATTTGGCTTTTTTGCATGCAAATCCTATTTCATTCACTCAATTTCTTACAGCTTTCACAAGCATTGTTTCCTGTTTTGACACATTTATTTTATTGTAGATTTTCTATTTTTCATGGAATATTGTTTTGGGATTTCTATCCTGACACTTGGAAGGATTTTGTGGTCTACCAGTATGCACCCCACGTCCTACCTTTAAAAAAGTTTTTTTTTTTTTTTTTACTGGCACCAAGTTTTAGACAGCTGACAGGAAACTAGTCCTCTGCAACACTCCACTTGATTGCCCTATTGAATCAGTTTAATTTTTTTTTTCTTCAATTGTTTCAATTAAGAGTTGTTTTGTTGGAGCCAGGTTTCCTATCAAGTAGGTATGCACAACTGCTTGTTTTGATATGCAAGGAATCTTAGCAGTAGACAGGTTTGCATACCTAGGTTCCTGCTATGTTTTAAGATAAAAAAACAAAAAAAACACTTGCATTAAATAAAGGTTACAGAACAGTAAAAGTTTCAACTGACCCTTTTGGAAACTTGGCGAAAGGATCTTCTTTCTTTGGAGGCTTGGGTTCGGGTTCCTCTGAAGGATCTTTCTTTACCTCTTGTTGCTGGAAAAAAAAACAAAAAAAACAAAAAACTTTAGTGTTTCTGAGCAAGATAATACAATTGACTGCTCTTATTTCTACTGTAAATAATACAAAACCAATTGAAACATTCAGTAGAAGCTACTGATGAGGAACTGAATCCTGAAGGAGTTCTCAGGAGCTGCAAATTTGTGCTTAACATGAAACAAATTCTAATTAAACCTAAAAAATTTCATTCATAGGATACTCAAAGTATCTTCTTTCTGGTTCAAAATATTAACATTCCTAATTCATACATTAAGAATTGAAATCTTATGAAATATTAAAGCAAGTTTCTGGATACAGATACACAAACTGTGCAGCAAAATATTTAGAATTTACTTTTCAGTTCTAGGAATTTCTTAAATGAAACATTGTCATTCATAATTAACTTTTGAGTAGTTATGTTTTCAAAAATTAATTTACAATTTATGTCATCCTGATCAAAAAACCTGTACATAGTCATATGAATTTGACAATACTTAAGCTCTTGACAGAATTCATTCCTCACTAAATGCTTAAAAAAAGGCACAATACCAGACTTGCTAAATCCAAGTAAGTACTAGCCTGCCCAATGATATGAAGTTGCAAACAATTCAAGACTGACAAACTTGAATCAAAAGCAGAAATACAAGCAGCAACAGAAAGAGTAAATGTCGAGAGAAATGCATTTTACCTTGGGCTTTGGTGGGGTTTTTGCCTTTTCTGTCTTTTGCGCCTTATCCCTCTTGTCCTTCCTTCCCTGACCATGAATCTCAGCGTATTTCTTTGCTAGAAAGCATAGATAAGAAACTTAAAATAACCAGTTACAAGCGATATAGTTTGCCTAAAGCAAATTAATTAGGCCTAAACAGGACTTCTGCAAGTAACAGATAAAAAAAAAAAAAAAAAAAAAATAAAAAAAAATAAAAAAAATAGAAATTGAATTTATACTTTTGTTAATTTATAAAGTCAGCTTTGATAAAATTTCACTTTAATCTTTAAGTAACTTAAAATGAGCTATCATCTATAAGAACAAACTGTATAATTACAAAATTAAATTAGATGGTCAGCGCTATTCAGATTTTGGTTTTTATACACGAGAATTTTCACAGCAATCTAAGCATGTTAGATTGATAATTATATGGGAATTATATACAAAAATTAATTATGTCTAACTGAAAACACCTACCAGCATCTCAAACAGAATCTTTATAAACATTAAACCTCTTAGGATTATCTCCTCTTAGAATTTTTTCACACTGCTAAGTTAATACCCTAAGTCATACTAGCAATTGCAAGGTTGCCTTTTATATTGAAGGCAAAACATGTTAGACTGAGATAAAATAGTAATACATTAAGACAAACATTCACATTCTTTTTGTCAATTGCACATATCTACCAATTATATGCAAAAGATCTACAAGAGGAAAATTTGTCTAAACCATTATATAAAATTCATTGGGTATCAGTTTGGATCCACAAGTAGGAGCCTTTTTCTAAACATTTCTTGTACATTTATATCAACCAGGATTTTTCCAGCATCACAACACTAACAGAAGATAAAACTTACGATCAAACTGAGCCATCTTTTCACACATTTGTACATTGCCAACAACAGATTTGAAATGCGTCTGGTTGATCATTGTAGTGAACCACCTATTGACATTAATATAGGGGCTTCGGAATTCTGCATCAAGTACCTAAAACCAATACAAACATAGAATAAATGATTTTCTCAATTTTACTATTATTCAAGAACCAAACATAAAAAAAATCTTACTGAAGACTACAAGAGCTGTGAAGAGGAAATTTATTTCAATTCTAATCATTCATGAGAAATAAAACTAAAAGATGAATTTATTAGAATATTAAGTGTTATTTAAGCAAGCTACTTATTTTACATAGAGAAAGAAAATATTACAAAACAAAGATACCTACAAATATACCATGAAGTGCCAAGATTAGACTTTCAAAATATTGATGACCAGCAAATTTATCAGAGTAATTCAGTTTGAGTAAAAATTAAATATAATGCAGTATTTTTAATTGCAAAAATTTGTATTTTTAGTAAACTTACATATTTGTACAACTGCAGCATATTGCAAGCAACAGTAATATCTGCTTGGGTGATACGTTCACCCACCAGATATGTGCGAGTTTGCAGGTAGTCATTCAGAATCTTTAAGACTTTTTTGATTTGTTCCTTGGCCTTTTCAGTTTCCTTTGGAAAAAAAAAAAAAAATAGAAGTTGGAATTAAAATCCATAACATGATTTTCAAAAATTTGTTGGAAAAAAAAAAAAAAGAAAAAAAAAAGTTACCTTAAATATTTCCCCAACTCAAAAACCTAACTGATGCCAGTTGCTTTGAATTAAAGGATAAAGTTTTATATTTTAGAGAAAAAAAAAAAAAAAAAAAAAAAAAAAAAAAAAAAAAAGAAAAGTCAATTGGTCTCAGATGATTGACATCATTTTTCTCATCTCATGACAACCATACCCCATAAAAACAGGTTTCCTTTTAATCACCCAATGACAAACAATTAAGAGGTCACAAGGGTCATGCTGGTTTTTTGTGTATGTGCATGGGGAGAGAGAGAGAGTCCCAACATGCCGTTTTTACAGCTCACATTGGAAGTTATATTGAAATAAATCAAGATAATGTGATAAAACAGACAAGAAAAAGGAAGAGTAAAACAACTATAGCTGGCAATATAAAAACCCTGCAAAATAAGCTAACCAATTATTTCTCAGAACTTGAGGAAATTGTGCACACTGACTAAAAAGAGAAACATGAACGGAATACACATATCAATAACATTGACACAAGTGTGTGTGTGTATATATATATATATATATATATATATATATATATATATATATATATATATAACACACACACTACACTGTCCTAATAACCAAACCTTTTGTCTGCATAAAAAGCATTGTCAAGGACTTACGGCATCTTTAGGAATTGATTTTAGCATTGATTGGTCAATGTATGAATTAGAAAATAACATTGCCTGAAACTGGTAGAAATTTGTTTAGAAAATCTCAAATTCATACCAATCTTTAGGTAGACAGGACTGTTCAGGACCAAAAACTTTGATTTATGGTGCTCTACAATCTTAACATTAATACTAGATCACACCATGTCTAAAGAATGGCCATTATCACAAAACATTTTCTTAAATTCTAATTCCTGTTCTAACTTATTTGTAAGATACAATTATTAGAAATATATTAAAAAATGTTCTGTAAAATTGTTTTGGCATCAGGAGGCATAGTGGAGTAACAGATAGTGGCTCGGACTGAGGAATCGGAGAGCTGAATTCTAATTCCAGTTGAATCCATTTAGATGTTAATACCCTTGGGAAAGGTATGAATCTTCCTTACAAGCTATAGATTTTATAACCTTGGATGGCAACTGGCCTACCACAAAAAGAAATGGCAACCTACAGCAGGAAAAAAATCTGCCTTGTCAGTCATGTATTGAAAGATACATGATCACCTACGCGTGTATCGTGCACGACACATAACTGACTGAAGTCTTAGATTTATAAATTTCACAAGTTTTTTCATACACTTGTATACAGATTCCACAGTTTAGCCTCATCAATTATTGCCATTGACCTTCAATGGATACCCTATAGCTGTTGACCTAGTGTTAGACAAAGCAAAACTTTACAAATCTTATTTCAAAATTTCTGCACACAAATCTCTAGGCGAGGAGCAATCTGAATTTAATCTAGTACTTGTTAAAATAATATTTTTTTCAATGAATCTTTAAAAACTTTATAAAAATCTGATCCATATAGTGCCATAACATGTGTAAAAAAAAAAAAAAAAAAAAAAAATTATGTCCTATAGCTACTTCAGTCAATATCAAATGCAAGTTTTAAAATTTTTAAATTCTTGGTTTGAAACTAAAATCAACAAGTCTCATCATTGAATACAGATGAACAAACATGCCTATTAAAGATTTTATATTGGTGTGATCAACATAATAGTGATCCCTGCACAAACACACTGGAGAATGCCAGCTTCATTTCAGCTTAGTAGAGATTTAGTGAAAATAATTCTGGAGTTAACTTTTAAATTTGTATGCTTGACAGCTTTTAAAAGCATCAGAAGAGACCATCACACACAAGCAACAAGGAGAAAAAAGAAAGAAAGAAAGAGCCACAAAATGTTCATCTTTTTCCCCTCTACCACAATTATTGCAATCTCTCCACATTTTAATAATTGATGATGGGTTTTGGCCTACCACAAGGGTAGGGTTTGCGTTGATGTTCAAAGATTATTTTATCGAATTTAAGCAACTTACTTTATATAAAACAAAGAATGGCTGTTGGATCTTGACATGATTAATTTATAAATATGTACATGTTAATATAGTAATACACACATTTCATATTGTCAATTTTCCATTTAGTCACGGTGCAGAGCTATTTTTTTTTTTTTACTAAATCTCTGACAAGAGAGAAAGAAATGAGAACCAGCCAGCATTTCTAACTTTTCTTTTCTAAATTGCCATTTATGAGGATCGTATTTTTTTCTCTTTATAATATTAGTGCAGGCATTCATGTGCAACAGAAAATAGATTAAATTTCTTAAATTTTAAAATTCATAGGATGTAAAAAAAAAAAAAAAAAAAAAATTCAAAGTAAAATATTCTTTCGCTTGTGAAATTTTTATATTTCCTTTTAAATAGGAAAAAAAAAAAAAAAAAAAAAAAAGATTTGATTTCTGGGCAGTGAAGAGAAAATAGAGAATTTATTCTATCCTTGAAGTGGACACTTGAGCAGTTATTCAATAAAATTGAGAAATCTGAAGCTAACAAAATCAAATTACCATTTTTTTCCCCTAATGTACTGACGTTTAGGAATTAACATGGAAGGAAAATTAATTTTATTGCCCTTTTGATAACCTCCCTTGTTAATCCACGTGTTTATTGACACTCTTCCAGTCAATGTACAAAATTGCTTTTAGAATAGTCTTGAGGACATCATGTACCAAGAAATGCCTTGATATATTGATAGGCGAGGATAAAATTTCTAATAGCTTGTTCCTGTAACATAATTGTTATATTCATGGAAAATGGAAACGAAGTAGACAAACTGAATCAAAGAGTCATGACTAAGTCTATTGCATTCAAATTTGCACTAAAGCTCTCTGAAAATGCATAGACTTCCAATAGGGCATACTGATCTGTCTAGCTTTGGATGGCAGTCAATTCAAGATGTAATTGAAATTCAAAACCACGGAGACAGCAACAGGAATCAATATTATGTTTCCCCAAGTAGTAATGGTAATTTAAAGATAAGGAGTGTGTGTATAGATATGCTCACCGTCATGGAGAGCTATGGCAAAAAAAGACAAATTTAATATCAATTTTTTGTCCATACTTTTTCAGATATTATAAAATTCAGAAGATTGGAATTCATCAATCTACTAAATTTTAAGTCTTGAGCAGCAATAAAAGACGGGATTCCCAAACTAGTATATAGTTCTTACATAAATTGTATAGTTGAATTCTAGTAATTTGTTAAAATTTAAGACTTTTTAAACTTTGATTCACTTGTCATTATAAGTAAAAATAATTGTATAGTTTGCACGCACAAGAAAAAAATGGGGGTAGTGGCATCATTGTCTTCTACAGCTGAACAAACCTAGCAAGTAAAATTTGGCAAGTTATCAGTTATTAACAAGAGTTAAATCTACCACCTAACCTTTGAACAGAGTTGACAATAAATTTAATATTTCTATTTTTCTGCTGTCAATAAAGCAGATATCGCAGGAGCAATAACAAGTTGATAGGAATGTAAATATATAAGTCTTAAAATCTAGAAGGTAAAAAAAAAAAAAAAGTTCTCAAAAAGATTTAAATTATTGCCAAATCTTTGTGTATGATGTGTCCTAAAGTAAATTTCTCAAACCATACATTTAGTTAAAGGTTTTTTTTAAATCATTGAAAATTATATTACTCAGTTACCTGCTTATTGAACTGAATAATACCAAGGCAAGGATATACCCAGGTACAGGAGGCAGGGAGGATCTCATTGTCAGCAAAATTGATCCACTGGAGAATGTGGGCAGCATCTTCATCTGTTGTGCCTCGCAGCTGAGCTGACCCAACTGAAAATACATGATACAAATTAAAGCAAATAAACGAGCTACAACAAAAATTAAGAAACATTGATAAACTGGAATCAAAAAAATTTGAAAAATTTATTTAAAAAAATAAAATAAAATGGAAACAAGACTAAACACAATCTTCCTACTCTTACTTTCTCCATTATACTTAGATTTATGTCAAACTAAGTTAAGTAAATCTATCTGGATTAGATTCTTGATCCTATTTGATACAATGATTCTGATTATCAGCCCTTGGAAATTGAGCCCCCTATGTTGTAGTGTGACTTTTTCATTTTTCCAATGTATTGTTACCTAAAGACCACCAGAATTTAGTTAAAAAAAAAAAAAAAAAAAAAAAGAGTGTGTGGGGGGAATAAGCTGAAAGTTTCACTACTCTAGTTTATTTGAAATTTTACAGCATTGACAGGTGCTTTGATAATCAAATGACTTGCTATATTTCCTTGCAACAATTTTATGAAGTTTTCATAAAAAAAAAAAAAAAAAAAAAAAGAAAAAGCTATTTGTTAACTTAATGGTATTCAAATGGTATAATAATACAGAATTGAGGCTTGAAGATATACAGTATTCCATTCTTTTTTTTTTTTTTTTTAAAGTTATTTAAAAAAAAAATTCTAAGTTCAGTTATGGTTGCCAAATGTTAGCTGGCCACTTGTATTTGAGGATACCCATCCATTAGGGATGGTTAGACAAGCCATAGTGCAGATGCTCGCTCGGGCACATTTGTGTTCAACACGTAGAGCCAACCTGTGGTTTATACTGCAACTATGCTGAGCAGATCTTAGTTACAGTTTTGGAGAGAGAGAATGTTATCTAGCATGATCAGTCTGAATAAGGCCAGCACACTCAAACCCTCGGTCATGAGGACTTCTGACTGTGCCTAGCACAACTATCCAATTTCACTCACAAGGCTTGGGTCAACCTGTGGTATGGTTTTCAGGCACTTTGCAGACCAATAACATCAAGAAGTCTACTTCCTGACTAATCAACTATGGTGAGATATATATAAATAAATATAAAAACAAGACGTTTGTATTTAAATGATTTTGCTGTTGCATGTCTATCAACTTTATCAGGACACATTTATTGTACTGTATAAAGATAAAGTTTTAAATTTAAGCTAGATACATATACAAATTAAAATCAATTTAAATTTTAACAGTGTTTTGTATTTCTGTTTAGTAAATCCAGTAATCTTAGATAGAGTTCTTTGTTTTTTTACAAGTATTAAAAAAAAAAAAAATATGCCACTTACCATAGTGGGCAATGGCATTACTCTCAAAGAAGCATTCTCCGGATGAATTTTCAAAGGCAGGTACCTAAAATAAAATTTATTTTAATTATATAGAAAGCAAACTTAACATTCCTTTTTAGTTAGTAAATACAATAACTAAATGTTTGTCACTACAATCTGTACATTAGATTTTTAGTCATTTAAATTACTCAACTGCTATTTAAAAATTACATGTGAAGTATTTCTTAAAATACAGAAAAAATGTTTAAATTTAACCAGCGAGTTTATAAGCTCATTTGAAGCGCCTCACCTTTTACGTCATGAATTCACTTAAAAGGCAAAAATTCAATTACAAGTGTACCAAAATATAAAATGAATTTCTTAAAAAATAAATAGTTGAAAACACGTTTTTACCTCTACATCGGATCCATTTATTCTCTGTAGCAAGAGTACATACACATGTAATAAATAGACCACCGATGTTTAAGTTTAAACTTGAAAAAAATACTATCCAAGTTATATATTAGACGAAATTTCTTAAGTTTTAACAAATTTAAAACAATCTTTCATTTTAAATTAAATAGATGATGAAACAAGAAACATAGATGACGTGTAAGTAAGTTAGTCATGTGCGATCACCGATTTGATTTCACCGTTTCAATGGTATATTCTAGAAGGGGTTTTTGCCTCCAAAATATCCACATTCTAATATACTCAGAATTATCATAGCAGTAAGATTGCTCAAAATATCTTTAGATCACTCAGTATAGATCATTAATTAAACCAGGTTAAAAAGATACCAATAATCGGTAGTATGTCTAGTAGCCTATCTGTGATCAGATGTACAAACCAGTTAAAATACACGCTTTGCTAACCCATGATGAATATTTACGCAGAAAAGAGTTTGTTTCGAAGAAAGTCCTTGATTGAATAAATTATCCTCAAAAGATCAATCTGCTATATACCTTTCCTATGGGGAATTTATCCAGAAATTCTTTGGACTTGTTGGTCTCTCCGAACTGAAAAGCCGGTGGAGCAGAAGCTACAGTCACGTTTGCCCCGCTGTATTTTGCAGCAATGAGGATCTTGTATGCTCGGAAATTTTCCGGATAGGTATAAAGTGTCTGAAAAAAAAACAATAACAAAAAATATCAGCATGTGTAGCAATAAAGGAAATACTTTGATTGGTGCCACTACCGAATAGAAAACCGGCAGGATTGGCGCCGATAAAAATGGATGTTGAAAGTAGCATTATGATTGAACGTACACCGCTCGCCATTCTGCTAGCCGAAAAGGAAGTTATGCGCAGAAGTTGGGATACTATATATGGTGCCCGGATGTTGAAACCTGCCACTGCTACTGCCACTTTCTCAATACTGTCGTTAGTTACTGCCACTTTATCGTTGAGTATCTGCTGTCACTGACACTCTCGGCGCTTACCCGTCCAAATCTCTACTGCTACCGCCACTCCGTCTTTGGCCCATTGGTGCAGCAGTAGCCGCTTCTCTTCTCTCTTCTGTCATATTTAACAAGAAGGAAGCGAGGCCAAACTTGAGCAGCTTTTTGTGGTTTATGATACTACAATTCGATTAGAAGACAGGACGACGACCACCATTATCAATACTCCCTATCCTAGTCTAGGACAAGCGCAGGGATTTGATTCTGAATATGGTGAGATTATTCCACTTATTATTGTCATCATCATCATCATCATCATTTTATTTTTTTTTTATAGTTCTTTTACATAACTTAACAGAAGGATCTCTCTTGGGCTTGGCGTTCTACTTCATTTGTTCGTTTTTCTTCTTTTTTAAGCTATACCCCTTTTTTTTCTTTTTTTTTTTTTTTTTAAAAAAAAAAATGTAATCGATCTCTCTTGAGTGTTGTCTATCGAGTATCTTTCACCTTTTTGCATTGCATGACTTTTTTTCCTTCCTTTCTATTTAACCAGGTTGATCATTGCTTTCTTTAAAAATCTGTTATTACTTTCGGCCTGTCACTTACTCACGTACACGCGTAAAAAGTTGTCCCACAAATTCCGTCCTCCAAAAATGTAAAGAAACCATTAAAAATAGGATTTAAATTTTGGGACGCATAAAAAAAAATGTTTGCTTTCAGAAATAACTTCTGCTAGCAAAATAAATGTATCACCTAAAAAAAAAAACAAAAAAAAAAAACGATACCGTAACTTCTATAAAGCAAAGCTGTTTAACCTAAAATTTGTTTTCGATCTACAAAAATATTTGCACTTATTTGCTTGTAAAACCTCTACAATACATCCAAAAAGGTGATGGATAGTAAAAAAAAAAAAAAAAAAAATAGTTGTATTACTACTTATTACACTAGTGTATACTTTTTCTTTTTTGCGTAAAAAAAAAAACAAAAAAAAACCTTGACTTTTCCATTTTTTTTTTTATTTCAACAACGATTACTTAATTTCAGTTAGCCAACTGTTAAACTTGTCATACATTTCGTAAATATTCTAAGCCTTATCATCTGATTTTGAGTGGGGGTGTTATTGGTGGGAGGGAGAACAAACAGTAGTAACCGTGTGTAGCCCAACCCTTCCCGTCATCTTTGCTTCTATCTCCGTCAGCATATCAAATCTAACACCTTTAGTTCTTGCAAAATGATGAAAATTCTGAAGTGATGATACTATCATCACCTTGCTATTATGTTACATGCTAACGCTACTTGCTTTCCATGACAGGGTTACTTGTGTTGTTTAGTCAGGTAGGAACCACTACTATCATCAATGATGACCGTAGCTGTGTATTGTAATAAACACTATCTATAATCTTTATTACTATTTCAAATGTCAGGTGAAGTGGTGGTAATGATTATTATTACTAACTAAAGTAGTGACAAGGTAAAGGCTGTAACTATCAAAAATTGTAAAATGCCACATCGTAGTCAAAAAAAAGAAATCTTTTTTTTTTTTTTTTTTTATTTATCTGGCTAAAAATGAATCTTAATCTTTCAACGAATTAAAGAATAATACAATCAATAAACCAACTGTTGCTCTTTAACTTACATAATGTTACTTAGTCGTCAGATTATTTTCTCTCGGTTATCTTTATTTTTAGTTCATAAAAAAAAGGTTTTAGTTTTTAGTCTTTTTGCTTGACCCCCACCCCCACGTTGTGTGGGTGGCTTTAAAATACAGATGGTACTGTCTCTGGTTCTTTAGTGATATACAGAAGTGTTTATCATTATTTTATTAATGACATTAGTGATCATACATCTTATTACGAAGCCGTCTTTTTAATTTAGTCATTCTTAGATTTGTTTTTTGCATAAAGCATAACTAATTTTTTTTTTTTTTTTTTTTTTTTTTTACAAAGTTCTTAATCTTTCTTATCCTTCCCTCTCTTACCTTGTTTTTTTTATTTATTAATTTTATTACTGACCTATTTCTTTTTTAACTCACTTTTACAATTAAGTTTTTTCTTTTAGTTTTACTTTTAATTTATGATTTGTACTATAGTACTTTTTTTCTTTAAAATGTTTTCCCGTTGATATAATCACTTTCTTTTCTAAATAAAAAAGTCTTTCCGGTTTATTGCCTAATTTTTGCTGGCTGGTGTTTTTAGAAGCAAGCTTAAAGTTCATCTTATTATTTGTATTTATTATTGATTTGTAATTAAAGGTAATCTTGTAAAAACGTAAAAGATTTGGTATGTTCTACTTAGCCTGTTTTAGTGTAATAATGCGAGTAGCTACATAAATTTGATTTGGCTGTCTGAAGCAAACAAGAATTAACTTAAACTCTTTAACCAGAATTGGTTAAATAAAAGTACAAGGAACAAAAAAAAATCTTATGATCTTAATGTCCCAAATGGATGCCCATCCCGTTTCTAATCTTTCTGACAACCCTTGAATCTGTTCATACAACGTGCGTGTGAAGCAACTTTTCTTTGCTTCGTGATCATGAATCCCGTAACTCTTGGGCTTGGCCTTAGGGTTGTAGGGACACTACTGCAACCATAGCACCAGTGGCGTTTCATACAATTTTTAAAAATTTATTTGTTTTATACAAAGCCCAAGAACCACAAAGGAACCGGAAACCCAATCCTAAACAGGAAACCAGAGATAAACCTCTACTCCTGTTCAAAATGCCAGGGAGGAATGGACAAAACCGCCTGATAAAGCCCAATCCTCTCCAGGCTGGTTTGAATTCAGTTTTCATTCTCCTAGACTGGTTGACAACCAAAGCTATAGGACCCAATCTGTCCTATTTACCTATAGCTTGGGTGAGGGATGGCTTCACACTCTTCCCAAGAGTATTAGCATGTAAATGAATGTAATGAACTTGGCTGGAATTTGAATTCTGTTATCCATGATTCTACCATGCCTCCATTTCTTTGCTCAAGTTTGCTAAAAATGTTTAGTCTGAGTTCCATTCTCAAAGATTTGTTTTTCTTTATTTTCAATCAGTCTGAGTATGTAGGTATTAATTGGACCTTAAGTTAAAACTGTTTTACTTTTGTTTTTTCTGTAAAAAAAAAAAAAAAATTCTCTTGAATATTTAAAATGAATTAGATCACTTAAAACTGAACATTGTTTATTATTAAATTTTATTAATTCCATTCTGGTAAAAGTGAAACATTCAAATGTCTTTTATGTTATGTAATATATCCTATGATCCAGGATGAGGCCTATACCAGACTGCAGACAATGTTTTTTTTTTTTACACTTCCTGAAATAAAACACTACTTGTACTCTGTACAAATTGTATGAAGCAAATTGATGACTGTCTAGTGGTGTCTGGAAAGCTTTTGAGCACCTTCTACTACAATTAAACTGGTTCCATATAATTGAAAAGCAACAACTGAACTTGATGAATGATGATATGCAAACTGGTCCAGTGAGATTCTTTTGGAACCACTCTCATACAGGTCTTTTTGTTGTTCATGCCAAATGTATTGATATTGAAATTTATCATAAGGTACCTTGCTGCAGTCTTTACTTTTGATTGTTATTGTACATAAAATATTCGCAAAGATTTGGATTCACTCTAACTTTTTTTTTTTTTTTTTTTTTTTTTTAAATGACAATTAACCTTACGCTATTCTGAACTATTACTCCAGCTTAATAACTAGCTTTTTGTCAGCTTGCACACACTGTTGAACATTATCATTACTATTTTATTTTTTGGGTTGCATTTAGTAGAATAGCAGTTTGACTTTTGTGCTAAATTAAGAATGTTTGCCAATTGTTTGAAGTAGATGTTTCCCTGTGTAACTTGTCTGTTCTTAAATTTATGATAATGTTGTGATTAACAATTTCATGCTTTGCTATTTTACACACAAATACTTAATTACGAGTACAAATCTATATATACACTTAACAATAACAAGCTGCACATGGTATACTCACAGCTAATTGAAACTTCCACTGTATAATGAGGAAGCAGGTTTTCAAATGCATAACTACAAGATGGCAAAGGAATTTTTGAAGTCTTTTTACAAAAGACTTTTTTGAAACTTTGCAACTACATTATTTAGCTTGATCAGGTTTATTCTCTTTTTGTTTTGTTTTTAATCACCTAAATTCAAATATCAACTTCTTGGCATTGGTTGGGAAGGATAGTACACTGGTCATGAAATATGTCCTGCAATGGAGGCTTACATTTTGACATTTGGGGATTTTGTAGAAACATGAATATTTTATGTAAGAATTTTACCCAAGGATATTGATTAAAACAAAACCCTTAACTTTCATAGCTCACATTAATCCTCTAATACTTAAAGGATCCAAGGAACCTGTTGTGTTCAACTGTGTTGAGTATTTTTTTTATTTTAAAATTGATGAAAGCAATCCCAGATATTTAAAATAATTTCTTTCAATTCTAGATTTTAATTCACATGAAATCAAATCAACTTTATGTACTTCACTGGTAGACTTAATATAACAAGATTTTACTCATAACCTCTTCATTTAAAAAAAAAAAAAAAAAAAGCAAAAAACTCTTTATACATTTGAATGTTATTTCTAATTTGTTTTAAGCTCTGAAATACAACTTTGGTATAAAAATTAAACCCTAACAATGTTACCTCACACTTGATAACTTGTGCATTCCAGTTTTATTTCCTAGTATAGTACCTCTTAAAAAAAAATGACTAGATTGTTTATATATGGAAAAAGTTCTGTCCAGGTTCAATGTAATGTTTGCTCAAATTGTATGTGTGTGTGTGTGTATATATATATATATATATATATATATATATATATATATCTTTTGCATAGCAGAATTAGGGGAAGAGGATGAAGTGTGAAAGGGAAGGAATTTATGAAAAGCTATATATGTTGTAATCTACATTGTAGTTTACCCAGATTAATTGAAAATATTTTGACACAACCGAAATATGATTTGTAATATTTTACCTGTTATAAATGACTAAATTAACAATTTGTGTATTGACCATCTCAGTTTTGTTCTATTCAAGTTTAAGAAACCTTAGTTTCTGAAAGGAGGCAGTGGGGTAATGAATAGTGGCTCCAACTGAGGAATCTGAGAGTTGAGTTCAAATTTCAATTGAATCCATTGCATTCACTTACATGCTAATACCTTTGGGAAAGGTATAAATCCTCCTCTTCTCTCCCTGGCTATGAATAAATAGCAGGTTAGATTGGGTTCTATAGCCTTGGATGGCAACTTTTCTTCCACA